TCACATCTTCCCTTGGTTTTACATTCAAGAACGGCTTAAACGCCCTCTATTGGTCGGGGATAGGCTTCCCATCTAGTTTTCTTAAAAACTAGCAAACAGGGTCTTTTTTAGTCAGATTCCCAAGACTATGTCAAGCATATTCTTTATGAAAATGGGTTCATAAGTCATGAATTGCATGATGCTTATCTTGACTATGATGAGACTTAAGAGTTAATAGAAGATTATCTAAAGACTCTCTGTGTTTTGAAACAAATCCCACCTTTTGACAATTTTCACAGGTTTTGTAGAATGCATGTGATTCCTTGAATATGGTGGGCCAGTAAAATCTATTTTGTAAGATTTCTACAGTCCGTTTTTTGGACGAGAAATGATCCCCACGTGCCTTAGAGTGACAAAATTTAATGACATTACTTACCTCATTGTCGGGAATGCATGTTTAAAATATTTGATCAGGACAATAATTGGATAAGTAAGGGTCATCCCAATAAAATTTTTACACGTCGCTCAAAAATTTTCTTTTGTGTTCAGTACTCCAGTGAGCTGGCAAAAATCCTGAAGAAAGAAAATTAATATTTTTAGCAAACCAAGGCATTGAACTAAGAGAAAGTAGAGATTCATCAGGAAAGTAATCATCAATTGGTGTGATGTTGGGTGTTGAATCTGTTGTCACTTTTGATAAAAGATCTGTATCAATATTTTTGGTGCCTTTTTCATCCTTGACTTTTTCCTGATTGGTTATGGCATGAGAAAATGAAAGTGCTGGCGGGGAATCAGTCTTTTCTTTGCAATGTTCAGATTCAACCACTTCCTTACACTCAGAGATTGACTCATCATGTGTTGGCTTCTGAAACTACTTGCATTTGCATTATATTGCCCCTTGGGATTTTGTTGTGGTTGAGATGGAAACTTACCTTTCTCTTGGAAACTGAGAACAGATGTTAATTTTGCAAGAGTATCTTTAAAATCTGTCATGTTTTGAGTAAGTTGAGTATTGATTGTCTCTTGCTTTTCAATGAATACATGCAATGTTTCCTCAATATTTCTTCTAGGAGGTGGAGCATAACGAGGTGCATATGCATGAGAATTTTGCAAATTGTGGTGTGCTTGAAATGGTGGTTGTGAAGTTTGTGCAATGTTGTTCTCACTCTTCCAACTAAAATTTAGGTGATTTCTCCAACTAGGGTTGTATGTTTGCGAGTATGGGTTATGGTTGGCCCTTTGAAAACTGTTTAAAGCATGGCAACATTCCTTAAAAAAACACAAGGTTGGACAGTTATTGGTTGAGTGTTCATTTGTTTCACATATTTGACACACAAATGTTTTCAATAGATTTTAATTGACCACTCTTTTTCAATTCTAGTGCCTCGACTTTTCTAGCTAAAGATGCAAACTTAGCTTGGAGGTCATGATCTTCCCTGAGGTTGTACATACCTCCACTAGATGTATAAGGTTGAGTTTTACCCAATGCCTTATAAGTACCCGCGGTGTCCTAATTTTGAGCATTTTCAGCTAACAAGTCTAAGTACTCCATTGCTTCATCAGGGTCTTTATCTTCAAAAGTTCCATTGCACATTAATTCAACCATTTGCCTATCTCTAGGTGTCAACCCTTCATAAAAATGTGAAACCAATCTCCATGTTTCAAAACCATGATGAAGGCAAGTATTTAGCAAGTCTCGATACCTATCCCAATATTGGTAAAATGTTTCTCTTGGTTTTTGAGTAAAAGTAGTGATTTATCTTTTGAAAGAGTTTGTTCTGTGAGATGGGAAAAACTTCTTTAAAAATTGTTGTTGCATTTCATCCCAAGCACGAATGGATCGCGGTCTCAAATTATATAGCCATGTTTTAGCTTTATCTTTCAATGAAAAAGAAAAAAGCTTTAATTTGATGGTGTTCATGCTACAATTTGAATCATTATATGTGTTGTAGACCTCCTCAAATTCCCTTAAATGCAAGTATGTATTTTCCAATTCTAAGCCATGAAAAAAAAAGATAAAAGTTGAATAATGTCTGGCTTAAAATTAAAATGAGATGCATTGGGAGGAAAATCTATGCATGATGGTGCACTTGTTCTTATGGGATTCATGTGGTCTCTAAGTGTTCTAGCATGGTTATTCTCAGTATTCTCATTATGAAGTGATTGATTATCTTCTTCAGCTATATTTTCTGAAAATGATGAAGATACCCTACAAAGTCTACCACTTGATGTACGTGACCACACTCTCATGCACGTGTAGGAATAGAATAAAAGGAAAAAAAAACAATAGAAGAAGAAACAAGAGAAAAGAAACAAAGTTATATACAAGAAAAGTGAAAAGAGAAAATAAAATAATTGCTATAATTTGTACAAGAACTTACCTCCCCGGCAACGGCGCCAAAAACTTGACACGACTAAAAGATTGATGTCTTCTCCTAAGTGTAGAAGTGTACAAGAAATAAATAACCCGATAAGACCGGGGTCGAACCACATGGAGGTTAATTGTACAAATTATAAATAACAATAATACAATAACAATAACGATAACAACAACAACAACAACAACAACAACAACAACAATAATAATAATAGTACTAGTAGTAGTAGTAACAATAATAATAATAATAATAATAATAATAAAGAAAAACAAGGAGAAGAAGAAGAAGATAATGAGAACTTTGAGATGGAATATTAATGTAAGAATTAAACAATGATAATAACAAATGTCAAGGTTAGAGGATCCACTAATGGCATGTCAAACAAGTATAGTATAAACTCTTATTATTCAATTCGAAACCACACACAAAGGAGGTTCCAATCTGATTATAGATTGTTAACATGATTAGATTAGTCATTTTATTCGATTAATACTAATACTTGTAAATCTCACCAAGCATTCATGATTATAACTTCTATTAACAACAAAGCAAGTTCCTTTCATAACTTAGGTGTCGGTTATACCATACAGTATGGGCTATAAAAGTGCCAAGTATTTGCTGTACCAAGTGTTATACAACATAAATCAAGATTAGTCATTTAACAAGCAAAGTATTAAAGAGTCAACAAGATAACAAATACAAAACATGTTAGTATTAAATATTAAAGTTCATATTAAGTTTACACTATACTTATTCTTAGACCATTAGTGTAACCTTTTCACCTTGACATAATAAACTTAGCTAGACATAATAAAAGAAAGAAAAATAAATACACAAAATAAGAACATAAATAAGATAAAAGTTAGCTAAGTAAATGAAAGGAAATGAAAGGCATAAACTTGATATTAATGAAAGCAAAGCATAAACATTACAAAAAATATAAAGAGAGAAAGCAAGAGCATGATCTTGATCTAGAAACCAAGATACCTAAATGTATGGCAAATGCCTCCTTTTATAGGCCAAAATTGGGAACTATTGATTTGATGACTAATTGATGAGCGGGTGACCAACTCTTGACTTGGTGACAATCCTTATCTTATCTTGTCTGCCTAAAACGTCATTGATATCGTCAAAATTAGAGCCACTTAAAAACATGAAAGTTGTAGGAAATTGTCTCATCTTTCTTTTGTAAAAACTTCAAGTCATTTGGACTTCTAGAACTCCAGATATGGGCCAAACACTAAATAGTGCTCGGGTTGGAAGACAGATTCGGACTTCTTTGTTGTTGCTATAATTTGGACTTGAAGATGGCCTTTTTAGATCTTGCGCTCCTATAAAAGTTGCAGGCCTATGTCTTACCTTTCCATCCATATAAAGTAGACCTAAATCTGAGATCTACAGCTCCAGATATGACCCAATTACCGAATAGTGTTCCAGTTTGGATTGCACCGACATCTCTTTTCTAAGTTTGGCCATCTCTTTGTCCTTTCAATTTTAGTTCTTAAATTCATCAATCAATCCTTTCATTTATGTGATAGACCTGCATTTAAAATGAATATTTACTACAAATTAAAGGTATCTTATATTATTAGATATGTTATTACAAAACATGCTTTAGTTAAGGAGTTATTGATACTTCGAGTGCAAAATAATGATATAAAATCTTGATAAAAATGCACTTTTAAGTACTAATCACATTCATTCAGAATCAACAAGCTTTGCTTTCTCACATGCGAATATGCAAAATGGTTTATTCATACAGTCAAAACTCAGCTTTGAAGTTATCTCATGATGTTCGAGTTGTCTTTTAGGTTTTTTTTTTAAGTGTTAGGATATCACTTGAATTTTCAGAACTTGTTTATTAAAACAAACACCAATTTGATTTTTTTATTAAAACTTTGATTTCCCAAAAATTCTTTGTGAAAACATGGGATCATGTTTTTTTTAGAGAGAGAAAAAAAAGGGGAAATACCAAAGAATTCTTGGTGTAGTGATTTTATGAATACAGAGCATGCTCAGTGCATCAAACAATAAAAAATGAAAGTACATTATGAACATATGATCTTATTAACAAGAAAGACTCATTTGATAGAGAGTCTTGTAGCATTATGAGTTGAATTGCCAACAAGACTAAAATAGGTTAAAATATTACAAAATCAAAATAACTTTGCAGACATGATCAAATAAAGGAGATTATTAAGGGCAGACTCCATCTTTCCATCTTGTGTTAGAACTTCATCCTCTATCCTCAAGAATGCACAATACATCCAACTCTTGCCATCAGTGTTTTGAGATTTTCAGAGCATTCCACCTCCAATGCATTCACCGATCTAGTACCTAAAGCATGATTGGGTGGAGGGTTTGAACTCACGTTTAGAGTTCTTTCAAAGGTTATCCATCCAGCTTTAATCAAATGCATAAGCCTCTTTTTGAAGGCATTGCAAGTATGAATGTTGTGTCCCGCAGTGGCAACATGGTACTCACAAGTGAGGTGAGGCTTGTACCAATTAGGGTAAGGTGGTGGTAGAGGTGTCAAGGGTTCTAAAACTATATATCCAATGCTTAGTAGCTTTTGGTACATCTTATTTAAGGACAACAGTAATGGAGGTAGCTATTCTTGGATTCTTTTGTGTTTGGTTTAAGACTCAGGTTTTCTATTAAGAAAAGAAGGATTGAGATTGATGTTGGCGATTTAGGGTGAAGAGGATGGAGTGTGGTATTTTTGGAATGGGTTCTTCTTACCCTCAATATAGTCAACCTCTTTCTTTTTACCTTTGAAGGCCTTTTTCTCCATAAGTGCAGAGATTCTACCACTCTTTACTCCTTGCTCTATACACTCAGCTACTACCACAACATCAATAGATTGCTGGGCCAAACTACCCATCACATGCTCATAGTATGGCGCCTTGAGCATGTTGGCAAATAGAGTCACCATCTCTTTATCCAACAGTAGGGGATGTACTTGAGCAGCTAGGTCTCTCCACCTTTGAGCATATTTCCTTATGCTTTCCTTATCCCTTTTCTCTAGATTGGACAAACTACTTCTATCAAGAGTGATGTCCATATTGTACTTGTATTGCTTCACAAAAGCATCCACCAAGTCTTTTCATTTTTTGATCATTGTGTTATCCAATATCATATACCAGCTCAATGCCGCCCCACTCAAGCTATCTTAAAAAAAGTACATCAGTAGTTTTTCATCATGTACTACTTCTGCCATCTTATTGTAGTAAGATTTGAGATGAGTCATGGGGCATTATGTACTAATATATTTGATGAATTCAGGAATACGAAACTTCTTTGGGACAACTACATTTGGGACCAAACACATTTCTACTGCCTGTACTAGATTGTACAAGTCCACCCCTTCAATCGCTCTAATTCTAGCTTCTAGTGTTGTCATCTTGTCTTGGTTAATGCCATTGGATGACTTAATCATGTAGGACTCATTGGCAAATGCATCTATGATTATGGGGGCTGGTTGATTAATACTTAAAAATGCATTTTTTATCAAGGTTTTATATCATCATTTTGCACTTGAAGTATGAATAACTCCTTAATTATAGCATGTTTTATAATAACATATCTAATAGCATAAGATACCTTTAATTTATGGTAAATGTTTATTTTAAATACAGGCCTATTACATAAATGAAAGGATTGATTAATGAGTTTAAGAACTAAAATTAAAGGACAAAGAGATGGCCAAACTTAGAAAAAAGATGTTCGTGCACTCCAAACCGGAACACTGTTCGGTAATTAGGTCATATCTCGAGCTGTAAATCTCATATTTAGGTCTACTTTATATGGATGGAAAGGTAAGACAGAGGCCTACAACTTTCATATGGAGCCCAAGATTTAAAAAAGGCCATTTTTAAGTCTAAATTATAGCAACAACAAAAAGTCTAAATCTATCCTCTAGCCCGAGCACTGTTCAGTGTTTGGCCCATATCTGGAGTTCTAAAAGTCCAAATGACCTTAATGTTTTACACAAGAAAGCTGAGACAATTTCTACAACTTTCATGTTTTCAAGTGGTTCCAATTTTGATGTTATCAATGACATTTTGAGTAGACAAAAAAAGATAAGGATTGTCACTAAGTCAAGAGTTGGCCACCCACTCATTAATTAGTCATCAAATCAATAGTTTTCAATTTTGGTCTATAAAAAAAGGCATTTGCCATGCATTTAGGCATCTTGGTTTCTAGATCAAGATCATGCTCTTGCTTTCTCTTTTTGTATTTTTTGTAATGTTTATGCTTTGCTTTCATTAATATCAAGTTTGTGCTTTTCATTTCCTTTCATTTACTTAGTTAACTTTTATATTATTTATGTTCTTATTTTGTTTATTTTTTTTTCTTTCATTATGTTTAGCTAAGTTTATTCTGTCAAGGTGAAAAGGTTACACTAATGGTGTAAGGATAAGTATAGTGTAAACGTAATATGGACTTTAATGTTTGATACTAATCAAGTATTAGCACTAATCGAATAAGATAACTAATGTGATCATGTTAACAATTTATAATATGATTGGAACCTCCTTTGTGTGTGGTTTCCAATTAAATAATAAGAGTTTATACTATACTTGTTTAACATACCATTAATGGAACCTCTAACCATGATATTTTTTATTATCATTGTTTAATCCTTACATTAATATTCCATCTCAAAGTTCTCATCTTCTTCTTTTTCTGCTCCTTCTTTTTCTTTATTACTACTACTACTACTACTATTACTACTACTATTATTATTGTTATTATTATTGTTGTTGTTGTTGTTGTTGTTGTTATTGTTATTATTGTTGTATTATTGTTATTTATAATTTATACAATTAATCTCCCTATGGTTCGACCCCGGTCTTGCCGAGTTATTTATTACTTCGACACTTATACACTTGGGAGAAGACATCAATCTTTTAGTCGTGTCACCGGTGCTGATGGCATTGAGTGCACAAATGCTAGATTGTATGGAGGTTCTTGACCATGTTCACTTACTATTTCTTTGGGTTAAGCAATTGCCAAAGGTTGAACAAAAATTGTTGGCTTGTTTGAAAGACCTTCACCAGAGGCATTTCTAAGTGTTTCTCGAGTAAGCTAGTGAGGCGAGCTACACTTGCTTTTAGAGACTCTAACTCTTCTTGGAAATGGGCTTCACGATGAGCACGCTCTTCATCTTCCATGTTTCTTGCTTAGAGTCGGGTGTTGTAGACTTTTTGGGGACCTATATTTTAACCTGTTGCATGCATGTATGTTATCTACAATGGATGGATGGATGTGTATGGGTGCAAATGCATGTACATGCACATTGGGTATGAATGGCAAAAACCCATACAGAATGACTATGTAGGGACTTTATGCTCTAAAGGAAGATTCTAGGTCATTACTTGATGGGTAAGCTTTCTACCTAGACTTAAAAGGATCTATGAATTGCCATGTGACCACCTCACGTAAAGGCAGTATAGGGGTTTACAAGGAATGGTTAGGGCACAGTGTGACCGCCACTACCGAGTAAACACTCAGCTCATAGTTAGATATTTCACGAATCTGAACCCCAATTGAAAGTCATAAGGCAGACCGCTACTCCCCACCTAACCTAAAATTGGGTTTACTTGTAAAATTAAAATGCATGCTAAAGTAGTAAAAATGCGAGTTAAAATTAAAGACCAACAAAAGGGCAAACAACAAAGCAAGCAAAGCTTAGTCCAACCAGATAAGGTGGTCCACAGTGGAGTAGCCATCCTATCACGGGGCGATGATGGAGGCTCTTATCGTGCCTCTTGTGTGTGGTGTTATGTGTTGGAAAGGGTTTTGGATTTAATCATAAAATTATGATTAATGTTTAGAAGTCGCCACCTAGTATTATGGTCATTAGGAACCTATGGTCTGCAAGAGTTTGAGTAAGGGACTAGTTGTCCAAGGGGAAGACGTGTCACCCCTAGTGCACCCTACCTAAGTTAAGCTGCATTGTTGTTTGATTGTTTTTTTTATAGTCAAGTATCTGTTAGTCTTTTCAAAGGATCAAGGAAGATTTATCTTTGTGAGAGAGTCTCTACCTTATTGGGTAAAATCCTAACCGTTCTAAGTCTGAATTTTAGCACAGTATTTATTTAGATCTTGTATCTTTCATACCTGAGGGGTATTTTATCGTGTAATTTTGCACCCCACAAATATTAAAGTCTACATCTGGATTTTAAAAAAAAAGGATTGGAAAAAGATTTTTGACATATTGGTCAAATCCTAATGGATAATCATAAACTGATTACGATATCTATTTTTGAATTAAAAAAAATATGAAAAAGATGCAATTTTGTTTTTTATGAAAAACATGCTTAGAAAAATTTTAGGATTTGGTCGTATGTAACAAAATATTTTTTTAAAAATGTTTTGAATATTTTATAATTTTAGAGGAAACCGGGTATTTTAATACCGAATTTATATTTTACAGTGTAAATACACAACCCAATATTATGCAAAATTGATAAAAAGAATATACGAGAAAATCACAATTTTTTAAAATGATTTAAAAAAAAAATTAGATTGAGAAAAAAAAAGCATAGTCCACTGCATGAACAATGGACATGAATTATAATTCACGTCCATTGTTCACTTATGAACAATGGAACGTGAATTATAATTCACGTTCCAATGTTCAAAATAGTGGAACTCTCATAGGAAAGATGAAGAACCAGTGAAAGGGTAGCAAATCACTTGGCATGACAGTGATGGCTGGCTGGTGGGGAGGATGAGCTGAAGCCAGCGGTGGAAATTGCGATGGAGTTAGCTGCAGCCGCTGCAGCTGGAAAAGGAAGAATGGTGGTAGAGTTGGCTGGAGCAGCTGCAGCTGGAAGAGGAAGAAGAAAAGGTTGCAGAGGAGAGAGAAACGTTGAAAGGAGAAGAGGGAGAGAGTCTTGGTGGCTGCTTTGTGGCCAGTTGGTGGTAGAAAAGGTGAGGGGCTGATGTAAGGATGGCGGCTTAGGCTGTGAAAGGGATGGTGGCTGGCGGAGGAAGAAAAAAGAAGAAGAAAACCTGTAACAGGGAGGAGAAGAGGAGAGAGAAGGTCATAGTGGCTGCTCTGCCACTAGAGAGGATCTGGGTTCATGGAAATGATGGTGGCAAATGCGGTGGCGGCGGTGGCGGCGGCTGAAGGCCACGGTCGAGAGAGAAAGAAAGAAGAAAATTTATGGAGATAGGCCAAAAAATTAGTTTTTTGGTTGACTTTAGACTCGATTTTCTCCTCCCTCAGGCCATTAAATCCACCTCTATTTATAAGCGGTGGAAGAGGGCAATTTTGTCTACCTTGGAGAAAAAATTCAGCCCTTGATTCAGATGAAAAAGATCCTAACCATTGACTCAAAGTAGGCATGATGCACTGTCAAATTGTCAAATCTGCAGCTGCAGACTGACTGAGTTGGTTTCTTTGGGGTGGTGCCACATCCGTTTATTTGCTAGTGAGCCCGTGTCGACCATACCCGGACGTAGAGAGGGATGTCTGGTGATTAGTTTCTGCAAGTTTTGGCAAATTTGGTAGACATTAGATACATTAAATGCAGCTGCAAAGTAGGTAATCGGACCAGTTATTATAGGGATTTAAAGAAGAAAATGAACAGTGTCAAAATACTGTTTTTGGTCAAAATTCATTTCAGTCCTTTCTCTTTCAATTGCTTTTAATTGAACCCCTAATTGACCCTAAAATTTTTCAATTAAGGCCCTAATAAACTTTAATTAGAGCCCCGAACTTACACGCCTATTGCGATATTACTCCTGGTCTCGGATTTCTTCAATTTAGCCCCTAATTGACCCCCAAACTTCAATTTTCATGAAATTTGGCCCTTAATTTCAATCAATTTACTTGGAAAAAATTAAATTTGGTCTCTTAAAATTTCAATCTTCTCAATTAAGCTAAAATTAGGCCCCCAAACTTAATTTTTCACCAATTAAGCCCAAAATAAAATTAATTTGACCCACTTAAAGTATAATTAAGTACTTGCGCTTAATTAAATCCTTCAATTGGACCCAAATTAATTCTTAAACATAAGTAAAATTCAATTTGACCCATGATTAAATCAAATTGGCCTATTAAAAATTTAATTATGTCCTTGGACTTAATTTTTATACAATGTCATCCAATAATCATTTAATTTGACCTTGAATTTGCATTTTTTTCTCTATTTTGGGCACAGTGAGGTACAATTAGGCCTTGAACTTCCCCCAAAAATTACAGCTTGATTCCCCAACTTGCATTCTCCGCGTTGTCAGCTTTTATTTCATTTTTTTAATTTTTTATTTTGAAAAAATTTGATTTTAGGGGAATAACCCAGAATTGGGTTATGACATCAGATGTCAAATCTATTGTCACTCTTAACAAAAGATCCGCATCAACATTTTCGGTGCCTTTTTCATCTATGATTTCTTCCTGAGAATAAATCATTTGCAAATATTCAAATTCATCCTACTCATTTTTACTTAAAGTAAATTCAAGTTGACCATAAACTAATTTCTTAATATGATCCACTTCTTACAATTCATTATCATCTCCAAGTTGTTTACAAATATTGAAAATATTCATCTCCAATGTCATGTTTTCAAATAATAGCTTCATCAGTCCATTCCTACAATTAATCAATGCATTAGAAGTTGCAAGAAACGAACATCCTAAAATAACAAGAAATGAATTACATGCTTCAACAGGTTGTATGTCCAAGACAATAAAATTCATAGGATAAATGAATTTATCGACTTGTACAAACACATCTTCAACTATTTTTCTAGGCACTTTTACAAATCTATCAGCAAGTAAGAGAGTTACAAAAGTTCATTTTAACTCACTTAGAATGAGACTTTGAAAAACTAAATATGGAAGTATATTCACATTAGCTCCAAATTCAAGTAAGGCTCTTTTAATTTTATATTATTCAATAAATTAAGAAATTATAGGACAACTAGGGTCTTTATATTTCAAAACATTATTGTTATGAAGAATGACACTTACTTGTTCGGCTAAAAAGACTTTCTTTTTCACATTCAGTTTTCTCTTCATGGTGCACAGATCTTTCAAAAATTTAACATAGTAAGGAATCTATTTAATAGCATCCAGCAAAGGTATATTGATCCTTACCTGTTTGAAAGTTTCAAAGATTTTAGAGTTGTGATTGACTTTCCTTTATTTGGTCATGGCATGAGGAAATGGAAGTAGTGGCGGGAAATCAGTTTTTTCTTTGCAATTTTCATATTCAACCCCTTCCTTAGCCTCAAAGATTGACTCATCATCTTTCTTACAAGGTTCAAGAGTGGGTTTTATGATAACCTTACTACAGCGAAGAATAGTGACTGATTTGACTTGATCTATGTGTTGGCTTCCCGAACTACTTGCATTTGTATTGTATTGCCCCTTGGGATTTTGTTGTGGTTGAGATGGAAACTTACCTTTCTCTTGAAAACTGAGAGCAGATGTAAATTTTGTAACAGTATCTTTAAAATTTATCATGCTTTGAGCAAGTTGAGTATTGATTGTCTCTTACTTTTCAATGAATGCATAAAATATATCCATAAGAATGTTAAAAATTATTATGTGCTTGAAATGGTGGTTGTGAAGTTTGTGCATTATTATCATCACTCTTTTAACTGAAATTTGGGTGATTTCTCCAACCAGGGTTGTATATTTGCGAGCATGGGTTATGATTAGGCCTTCGAAAACTGTTCAAAGTATGAGCTTATTCATAGAGACATTCCTTGAAAGAAGGCAAGGTTGGACAGTTATTGGTTGAGTGTTCATTGGTTTCATAGATTTGACACACAATGTCTTAAATAAATTTTAATTAACCACTCTTTTTTAATTCTAGTGCCTCAACTTTTCTAGCTAAAGATGCAAACTTGGCTTGGAGGTCATGATCTTCCCTAAGGTTATACATATGTTCACTAGATGTATGAGGTTGAGTTTTACTCGGTGCCTCATAAGTACCTGTGGTATCCTAATTTTGAGCATTTTTAGATAACAAGTCTAAGTACTTCATTGCTTCATCAGGGTCTTTATTTTCAAAAGTTTCATTGCACATCAATTCAACCATTTGTCTATCTCTAGGTGTTAACCCTTCATAAAAATATGAAACCAATCTCCATGTTTCAAAACCATGATGAGGGCAAGTATTTAGCAAGTCTCGATACCTATTCCAACATTGGTAAAATGTTTCTCTTGGTTTTTGAGTGAAAGTGGTGATTTGTCTTTTGAAAGAG